CAATGATGAGTGACTCAAATGGTATTCAATAAATATCAAATAGTCATCGAACCTCCCAGTTGTGTTTTATTGTACTATCAAGCTTATCACTGGTGTCAGATACCCCTACACAAATCTGCCCCTGAACAGAATGGACAGCAAAAAAAATAGCAGATTTCTGATTTAAAATTTCCTGAGATTCTCAGTATTCTTATCAGCTATTATTATTATTATATTCTGTCCATCTGCAACCAGTGCTTGCTCTACCTCCTCGTCCCCGTTAACCTCTCTGCTACCTTTCACGCAGTTTAAGGTGACATTAATTTCTTTAAAAAGTTTCCTGGTGGATGTGCAAAATTAAAATTACAATCATCGAGCACATCACCTCCATTTAATCAAACGGATTAAACCTAAACCAGGAGAAGAATTACATTTGCTTTTAAAACCTCGGTAAATTTGGGGCTTCTTCAATTGTATGAAAAGGCGTGTGACCTCAGGCTGCAGAGACACTGGGGAAGGAGAGGGTGGTGGGGGGGGGGGGTCTGTGTGCACACACACATATGCATGGGGGAAATGACGCCTGTCACTATACAGTGGACACAAGGGATCACATTAATCGACTCAAACATTTATGTTTTTTCCTTGGAATCCAATGTAATCTTATCACTGCTTCCCCTTCTGACATCCCCCCTCCCACCCCCGAAACTCTCAGCTCGGGTCCGTAACTCTGTTCAGCGTCTTGGGACGTCCTCCCGACACGAAAGGCGCTTTACACATGTAATCTTGTTGTTCTTGTTGTTTGGGATACGACAAATTTTGAAGTATCTGAAATTCTGTCAGAATTCAGAATAGTCACTGGGGGCGGTAGTGAAGGTAATAATAGGAATGAATAGATGAGCAGGGATGTAGAGAGCTGTGACTGATTGAACTGAAACAGTTGGCCGACTCATAGATATCTTTAAAATTATGAGTGATTCTCATAGTCTGGATGGAGATAAACTATTGCCATTGATTACCGAGTCAACGAGGCTAGTGGTGGCCTTATTTTCATATGTTTTTGAGCGTGAATGTCGGAAAAGCAACTAAGACAGAGTTTGGTACCATGGGTACACTTGGAATTCTTAAAAGGAGTTAAACAGAGAACATACAATGCAGATTGTTTTCATCTGGACAACAAGGGCTATGACATTCTTGACAACGATTCAAGCTCAAATCCACTTAAACAGGAATTGATTTAGCCCACATTTAACAGATTATTTCATTAATATATCTTTCTGGCGCAGTGCCAAAATGAATTGTGAAGCGTTGTACTTGCAATAATTTTATATGACAATATCCCCTTTGATATAACACCTTTATCGCATTGTTGAGGCATCAGTGGAGCCCTGTAGCTCAGTGGTTAGAGCACTCACCTCGCAAGCGAGACACCTGGGTTCAATTCCAGGAAGGGCGAAACCTTGGGCAAGTTTCCTTACTCCACACGCCTAATAATAATGCCTCCAAAACAAAACAACAATAAATTGGTCATTTTCAATCTACGACTGTTTGTGGGACGCTGCTGTGCGCAATTGGCTGCCGCGTTTTGCCCACAAATATACAGTCAATTCACTTTACAGCATATTCTGTGAAGCGCTTTGAGATGTCGAGAAGTTGTGAAAAGCGCTATATCAAATGCAAGGATTATTATTATTATTATTTCAAAGAGCTTCGAGCCCTTCGTGAAAGGTAGGCCCTAGGACCATAACAGTGCCAGTTGTTTGATCTTTAATCTTTCGCGGTCCTTTCAGTTGTTTCCAGTCATCAAGGGAAAGGAGAGAAGATGACTGGAAGCGCAGTCAAAGATCCAACCCCCAGCTCGGGTGCAAATCCTGGACTGTCCCCACGTGAGAGGTGCTGGATAAATGTATCGGTCCTTTGGATAAGATGTTAAACTGACATCCTGTAAAGGAGAAGGGCTCTCTGTTGGACATTGCTGTGTGCAAACCGGCTGCTTTTTTTCCCCCACAAAGTAGAAATACAAAAAAAATTACAAAAATATAATAATATAAGATTATATAAAAATATAATACAAAAAATACAAAATACAGAGTTACTGCACATTACAGTATATATATATGTTTGAGACGTCTATAAGACGTGAGAAGCGCTATATGAAATGCAAGGATTATTATTATTATAGTATTATATCTTATAATAATAATAATAATAATAATCCTTGCATTTGATATAGCGCTTTTCACGTCGGGAGGACGTCCCAAAGCGCTTCACAGAATAGACTGTAAAGTGAATTGACTGTATATTTGTGGGCGAACGCGGCAGCCAATTGCGCACAGCAATGTCCCACAAACAGTCGTAGATTGAAAATGACCAATTTATTATTGTTTTGTTTTGGAGGGATTATTATTAGGTGTGTGGAGTAAGGAAACTTGCCCAAGGTTTCGCCCTCTGCCTGGAATTGAACTCAGGTCTCTCACTTGCAAAGCGAGTGTTCTAACCACTGAGCTACAGGACTCCAGAAGCATTTTGGGACATCCTACTGATGTGAAAGGTGCTTTATGAAATGCAAGGATGATTATTATTATTGTTATTATTTCTTGTTTGGTACTTTAGATTTTGTGCAGCACAATTTAGTTTGAAGGATTTATTTGTTTTCTTTATTTTCTGTGAAAAAATTTTTGCGTCCGATTTGGAAATCGACTCCTACAACAGCAAGATTGCATTTATACAGCGCCTTTCAAGTCGGGAGGACGTCCCAAGGCGCTGGACAGTTGGATCGGGATCCGAGCAGGGTGGAAATGGTCAGGGTGAGGGAAGGGAGGGAGCGAGGAGGGGGTAGAGAGTCGAGAGGGGAGCTGAAGGCTCGGTCAAAGAGAAAGGTCTGGAGACCGGTCTTGAAGGAGGAAAGGGAGGAAGCAAATCGAAGGCACTGAGGGATGGAGTTCCAGAGCCTCGGGGCTGAAGGCCCGGCCACCGATGGTAGGGCGGTTGGGGCGGGGGATGTGGAGCAGACCGGAGCCAGAGGAACGGAGGGTACGGGCAGGTAGGTAGGGGGATAGTAGGCCATGAATGGCCTTGTAGGTGAGGATGAGGATCTTGAATTCGATCCTCTGGGGGATGGGGAGCCAGTGGAGGCGAGCGAGGGTGGGAGTGATGTGGTCGCGGTGTTTGGTGCGGGACAGTACATGAGCTGCAGAGTTCTGAATGACCTGCAGTGTGGAGGGAGGTGCCGGGAAGGCCGACGAGGAGAGAGTTCCCATAGTCTAGCCTTGAGGTAATAACGGCATGGACCAGAGTTTCAGCAGCGTGAGGGGTGAGGTAGTGTCGTAGTCTGGCGATGTTTCGGAGGTGATGGAAGGCGGTGCGAGTTGTGTTGCGGATATGAGGGAGAAAGGACAGCTCAGGGTCGAACAGAACACCGAGGTTCCTGACCGACTTTGAGAGGTGGAGAGTGCAGCCTTGGATGCTGATGCTGTCAGCGCCTGAGGTGCGGAGGCGCTGACGTGAGCCAATCAGGAAGGCCTCAGTTTTACGCACATTGAGTTGAAGAAAGTTGTCTCCCGTCCAGGATTCGATGTCGGACAGGCAGCTGTCAGGACATCGGTGGTCGTGGAGGTGAGGGTAGAAGAGGAAAGGTAGAGTTGAAAAGAGTTTTATTTAAACTGCTGGATGAATTCCCAGTGAGAAAGGGAGGTTTCACAACCATTGACATTAGGGACAGCTCGTGGAACAATTAAATTAGTGATCGGTCGTCCGTGATGTATGACATTTAACTCAGTGCAACCGCACATGAAAACAAGAAAAACAGAAACATTATTCCACGTTATATCTTATCCCGATGATGATCGAAAATCCGTCCTCTCACAGAAGTGGCTGCATTGCGCAAAAGATTTTTTTTCACCTGCGTAAGCACTTGAGCTGCTAAACAGATAATTATCGTTATCAAAAGTACTGCACACCTTTCTCACGTACGCGCAACACTCCACTAACATGAGTTGCTTAAACATGAGACACCTAAACATTTAAACTGACCACACCTGGAGTACAATGTAAAATTCACAGACACTCTCGCTGTTGTCTTCCCCTCTACTCAGGCCTCCAACACTCCAACTCCTGTCCCTTGTAACCTCCTGTCTTCCTCCCCTTTCTTGACAGTCCAGCCATTCCCAACTGTTGGATTCCTTTTGAGACAATAACCACGCTAACGGTTTCCATCAAATTGTTTTCTTTATTAATCCACAATAACAGTGAAATCTCAATCAAAGTAGATTCTGCTGGTACTGACCAGGAAACACCCAACCATCTGATGGCAATAAAACAATAAACACAGAACATTCTGATGGTAATAAACTGTTAAACGTCCATATAAACCAGAAAATACACCCCAAGCTGGTAGGTAATACTCACATGTCTACAACAGTATGTGAGATGCTGCAGGAGGTATCCCAGCACATGGTCAGGAGAGAAAGGGACAAACTGTCGTACAGGTGTCTATCTGTGAGTCACTGGTGTTGGATCAAATGGATATAAGTGCTGTACATCAAAATAGAACCGTTATTTCCTTCGTCTTAAGGCAGCTTCTCATGAGTGCTGTGAGCAGCATTGGCTCCAGGAGAGCTTTCCCACAGGAACGGTATGTTTCAGAGCATTTGTGATCTTTCTTCTGCTAGGAACCAGGAAATCTCTTCCCACATTCGAGACATTTATACAGTCTCTCCTTTGTGCCCTCTCTTGTGTGTTTGGAGGTATTCCAAACTCTTGACTGTTCATCCCCTTGGGGCGTCCCTCCCGATGTGAAAGGCGCTTTACAAATGTAATATTGTATTGTACTCGAATTCCATCCCTCAATCACTCCGCCTCGCCCCCTCCTTAGCCTCCTTCAAGTCCCGCCTCAAGACACTCCTCTTCGACCATTCCATCGGTCACCCCTTCCCCTCCCTCTCCCTCCCCCTGACCCCAGCTCGGGTCTGAAATGTTGTACACTGTCCAGCGCCTTGGGACAGCCTCCCGACGTGAAAGGCGCTATACACATGTAATCTTGTTGTTGTTTCCTAGTCAAACTCATTCGACATTCAGTACATTCACATCGTCTCCCGTCGGTGTATCTGCAACATTTCTGAAGATATGAAACTCTTTCCACATTCGGCACATTTATACAGTCTCTCCTGTGTGTGATCGCTGGTGTACCTTGAGGTTCCCTGACTCTGCAAAACCCTTACCACATTGAGCGTATTTATATGGTCTCTCTCCCGTGTGTGATCGCTGGTGTCGCTGAAGGTCCCCTGACCGCACAAAACTCTTTCCACATTCAGTACATTGATACGGTTTCTGTCCTCTGTGTGATCGCTGGTGTCTCTGAAGGACCGCTGTTGTTGTGAAGCTCTTTCCACATTCACCGCATTCGTACGGTTTCTCTCCCGTGTGAGATCGCTGGTGTACCTTGAGGTTCCCCGACTCTGCAAAACTCTTACCGCATTGAGCGCATTTATACGGTCTCTCTCCCGTGTGAGATCGCTGGTGTATCTGGAGGCTCCCTGACTGTGTGAAACACTTTCCACATTGAACGCATTTATATGGTCTCTCGCCCGTGTGTGATCGCTGGTGTCGCTGAAGGTCTCCTGACCGCACAAAACTCTTTCCACATTCAGTACATTGATACGGTTTCTGTCCTGTGTGTGATCGCTGGTGTCTCTGAAGGACCGCTGTTGTTGTGAAGCTCTTTCCACATTCACCGCATTCGTACGGTTTCTCTCCTGTGTGTGATCGCTGGTGAATGTGGAAGTTCGTTGACGTAGTAAAACTCTTTCCACATTCCGCACATATACACAGTCCCTCTCCTGTGTGTGATCGCTGGTGTCTCTGGAGATGCCCTGCCTGTGTGAAACACTGTCCACATTCGGCACATTTATACGGTTTCTCCCCTGTGTGTGATCGCTGGTGAACCATGAGGTGCCCTGAACGAGTGAAACTCTTTCCACATTCAGCACATTTAAACAGTCTGTCTCCAGAGATCGACCGCTGGTGATTTTGCGGAGATCCCGTTTGCACAAAGCAGTTTTCTTCAACAGTGTAGGTGATAGATGTCTGACAATCTCTCTGCTTCGAAGAAACTTTGATGCTACTAGCTGATGGTGTGCCTGACGTGTCTCGACGGATCTCGAGATGGCTTCTGCTCTGTTTCTCAAGGAACTCAGCACGAGTAAACACTATGTTACAATGAGGGCGAGAGTCTGAATCATACACTTTGGGAGCTGATGGGAGAAAAGAAATTTCTGTATGAGCAACATATCAGTTTTCTTTAGGGATTGCTGTTTGACCAATTTTGAATTAATCCTTGCATTTGTACAGCACCTGATCACGTCAAAACACTCTAAATTGCTTCACAGGAATTCCTGTCGAGTGTTGTGTTGGCAACGACAACTTGAATTTATATGGGGCCCTTCGTGCATGTCAATGTTTGTCAGTGTCAGTATTTGTCGGCAGCCACTTCCCACAAACAGCCATGAGGTGAGTGGTTAGTGTAGTGGACGACTGGCCAGGTCTGTTTAGGTGGAAGATAAAGATCCCACAACATGATTCCAAAAGAGAAGAGTTTTTCTCTCTTACCCACAGTGTCTTGGCTGTCAATAGAGAATTATACAGCACAGAAGGAGGCCATTCAGCCCATCGGGCCCAAGCCAGCTCTTGAAAGAGCTGTCCAAATTAATCCAACTCCCTCGCTCTCTCACCGTAGCTTTGAAAATTTGTCCTCCCCAAATATCTATCCTCTTGCCTCTTGAAGGTTGTTATTGACTCTGTTTCCACCACCCTTTCAGGCAGCACATTCCAGATAATAATAATAATCTGAACAACTCGAATATTCCAAATGAAATTAGTTGATTACTTCATGACTGTTTGGGAGACAATACTGTGTGCAAATTGGCTGCTGGAGTTACTGCACTTCACCCGTAAATCCAGTAAACCGCTTTGGGATGTCTTGATGACGTGATAAGGTGCTGTTTAAATTTCCAATACTCCTGGAGCATCTTTCATGTCTGTCTGAAGAGGCCCAGAGGGACTTCAGATTAAAAGCTTGGGGCCTGTGACAATGCAACACTCTTCCCCCGCAGTAACTGGGTTGTGAGTTGCCTGGACTGTAACTCAAAATCCTGACTTGTGTCTTGAACCCACATCCCAGAGGCAAGATGTAGCTGACCTGAGCCAGACTAACACCTGGAACACTTAAAATGTCCGTTTTGAGAATCATAGTGTACAGAGTACTGAAAGCTCTCACAACTCCATTATTCCAGAGTTTAAGTTGGTGTAACGTTTGTGAGCAATTTAGTTCATGTTAACTGAATTCACAGCACAGACTGATAAGCCAGAGCTGAGGGGAAGCCCCACATTGTCCTTTATGGGATGTTAAACCTCACTCCTACCTGGGCCCGATCAGCTAAGGGTTACATGTCTCTGTAAGATTTTATTTGCGATGCTTAATGTTTTTAAGGCTTTTTAATTGTAACCTGCCTATAATCCTTCACGGTGTGGCCAACTAATTACTAAGGCATGGATGGGGTGGTTTGCTTTTAACGGCTAGCTAAGAGGTTTCAATTGATTAGCAGAAGGTAAAGATATTTTGGTTTGACCCAGTCCAGGTCAGTTTATAACATTCTATTCCTTGGAATTGAAAAAGTGGGACTGATGAGAGAATAGGAAACCGAGTCAGCAGTGGCAAACAACAAAAACACATTTGTATAGCACTTTTCATGTAGGGAGGATGTCCCAAGCTGCTGGAGAATCAGTGTTTCAGACCCGAACTGGGGGCTTGGATCAGGGAGAGTGGAGGGCAGGGGGGTGGAAGGAAGGTGACTGAAAGCACAGTCGAAGAGGAGTGAATTGAGTCTTGTTTTGAAGGAGGCAAGGGAAGGGGAGAGAATGAAGTTCCAGATGGTGGGGGCAGAGTGGCTGAAGGTCTCCCGCCAATAGTTGAGCTGGCTGCAGCCTGCTGAGTGGAGGGAGTGGGCATGTTTATAGGGGGCTGGGTTGCAGAGGAAGGGGGGGAGCAAGGCCATGGAGGGCTTTGAAGGTGAGGCCCAGGGTCTTGAACTGTATCCTCTGTGTGATGGGAAGCCAGTGGAGTCGGGCGAGGACAGGGTCGCAGAGCCTGGTGCCCAAGAGGACACGGACTGCAGAGTTCTGAATGATCTAGTCTACGGAGCGAGGAGTTACAGAGGTGGGAAATGGCAGCGCGGGTCATGGCACAGATGTGGGGTAGAAAGGATAGTTGGTTCAAACAAGTCACCAAGGTTGTGGACTGGCTCAGTGAATTGGAGTATGCATCCTTGGATGGTAATACTGCCGGTGCCTGAGGTATGGAGGCGCTAACAGGAGTAAAACAGAAGGGCCTCAGTCTTGTTCACGTTCAACTGTAGAAAGTTAGCTCTCATCCAGGAGTTGGTCATCTGGGACAGCAGTGGTCCTGGAGTTGAGGGTGGAGGCAGAGATATAAGAGTTGAGCGTCAACCGCATACAAGTGCAAGTTGACCCCAGTCAGAGGGAGCCTGGGTCACAGATGGACAGAATGACATGTGTCACTTTGACCAAGATTGCTTCTGTGCTGTGGGCAGCATGGAAACTTGATTGGAGGGGTTTGTGAAGGGAGTGGCAGGAGAGGAAGCAGCTCATTCCAGTCCCTTGGAAAGAAAAGGGAGGTTGGAGGTGGGGTGGTAATTTGAGAACAGGGTTGGGTCCAGGGAGGGTTGTTGAAGGATGGGAGTGATGACAGTCGTTTTTAAAGGGGTGGGAACAGTACGAGTGGACAGTCACAGGTTTGTGATGTCTGTGAGTAGGGGGTCAAGGGAGGTGGAGCTGGGAGGTAAGGAGAGGAGTTGGGATGGGGTTGAGAGAGCAGGTGATTGGTTTCATGCGGGTTATAGTGGTGGTGAGAAAGGAGAGGGAGACAGGTTCGAAGGTATGTAGGGAGGGATGGGTAGGGACCGGGGTGTGAAGCGGAGATGGGGAGGGTGTAGTACTCAGAAGGGCAGAGGCAGCTGATCGGATCCTCTCGACTTTGGTCAAAGACACAATAGGACAAATCTTTCTGCGCTCAATCTTTCTGTGTAGCTTTTTGCAGGAAGAATACCTTTCTTAGATGTTTTGAGATCTTCATTGTCATCAACTGAGACTCCTCCTCTGTTGAGACTGCTCTCTTTGTTTGCTGTACCAGTGGCTTCAGTCACATCTCTTGTGTGGTCACCTACAGCCTCAGTTGATCCTGACGGGATGTGGGAGCTCTCCTTTTTGCTCTGAAATGCCGAAGGTAAGAACATTATAAGCGAGTGTCAGTCTGGCTCACTCTGGCTTCTGTGTCAGAAGGTTGGAGGTTCAAGCTCCATGTCGGGACATAGAACCCATATAGTCTAAGCTGACACTCCCAGTGCAGAGCGGGGGGGTGAGCGGCATTGTTGGAGCTGCCATCCTTCAGATGAGATCCCATTTAGCTGTCCAGGTGCAGTGCTCCTCACGATGTGAAAGGTAAATCTACAAGGATGATCCGAGGGGGACAGGTTACTGCTATCAGGATACACTAGGCCTTTCTTCACTGAAGAGAAGTTCAACAGAGGCCCTAATGGAGGGGTTTAACATTATACAACAGTTTGATACGGTTTGCAGATATAGGCTGTTCCGACTTGTTGGAAAATCCGTAACAGGGGACACAAGCATAAGATAAAGGCGCTACCCAAATGTAATTTGTTGCTGTTGTAGTTACTATGGGATCTAAATGAGATGCATTTTAGAGGACGTGAGGTAGACACATGAGGAAGATGGGAATAGAATGGAGGGAGTAAGGACTGGGTGGAGAGTGGAACATGTGGAGCAAACAGCAGGGTGGACCAGCCGGGCCGAGTGGCCGGTTTCCACACTGGAAATTATTTGTGAAGTGTATTTAATACTGAGCTGGTGACCTCCTTGCTGTTCTCCCTCGCTGGCTCCCTCTCACTGGCTTCCATCCTGAACGCCGGCTTCAAGCATTTCACTTCTGAGAGGTAGACAAGAAACAGCAGCTCACATCAAGGGCACAAAACTGTGTCTCCCCATCACAGCAGCTCTCGACGGACTCCACTGGCTCCCAGTTACCGAAAGGATCAATTTCAAGGCCCTCTCGCAAGTTTTCAAATCCCTTCCTGCCCCCCCCCACTGAGGCCGCCGCCCCCCCCACTGAGGCCGCCGCCCCCCCCACTGAGGCCCCCCCTCACTGAGGCCCCCCCCCCACTGAGGCCGCCGTCCCCCCACTGAGCCCCCACTGAGGCCGCCCTCCCCCCACTGAGGCCGCTGCCCCCCACCACTTAGGCCGCTGCCCCCCCACCACCGAGGCTGCCGCGCCCCCACTGAGGGGACCGCCCCCCCCCCACACTGAGGGGCCGCCCCCCCCCCCACACTCAGGCCGCCGTCCCCCCCCACACTCAGGCCGCCGTCCCCCCGCACACTCAGGCCGCCGCCCCCCCATTGAGCCCCCACTGAGGCCGCCCCCCCCACCACTGAGGCCGCCGCCCCCCCCACCACTGAGGCCGCCCCCCCACCACTGAGGCCGCCGCCCCCCCCACTGAGGCCACACCCCCCCACTGATGCCACACCCCCCCACTGAGGCCACACACCCCCACTAAGGCCACACCCCCCCCACTGAGGCCGCCTCCTCACTGAGCCCCTACTGAGGTCGCCCTCTCCCCACTGAGGCCCCCACTAACACCGCTCCCCCCCCTAATACCACAGCCCCCTCCCACCACATTAACAACACAGAATTCCACGCCTTTTCCATCCACCGGAGACCTCTCACACTCTCTCTCTCTCTGTGTCTCTCACTGACCGGATTGTGTATCAGCACCGCTCGGCGCCTCCGCCATGTTTGATCGTCTCCTTCTCCAACCGTCACTCACTCCCCGCCCACTCGCTGCCCATTGGTCTTTTCTAACATCCGCCCCCCACCCCCCCATCAGCTGGAGATTTCTATTGGTCCGCCGAGTTGTCGATCAGGCATCGCGCTCTGATAGCCCCGTGTCCACGTCAATCACCTCTCCCCCCCCCCCCGCCCCCGCCCTCCGCTCGGCCCTCGCGCTCTCTGTCCAACCGTCACTATCACCCCGCCCACACGCTCCCCATTGGCGCAGTCCAGCCTCGTGTTTCGTCGGTCTTAGCTTCTCATTGGTCGAGCCCCTTGTCAATCGAGCCGTTTCGCGCTCTGATAGGTCCGCGCCCACGTCAATCATATCCGCCCCCCCGTCCAACTCCTCCTCCTCCTCCCCGCCTCGCGCGCTCTGTCCACCCGTTACGCTCTGCAGACGCGCGCTCTCTCTCGCCCCCATTGGTCGGTTCCAACGCCCGCCTCATCAATCGTGGCTGTGTGGTTGGTCGGCGCGTTTGTCGGTCAGGCGCGTGGCGCTCTGATAGGTCCGTGACCACGTCAATCATCCGCTCTCCGCCCTGGCCACGCGCTCGCTGCCCAACCGTCACTCTCTTGCCCCACCACAAGTGTCTCACCCCCTCTCCCTCCATCGCCATCTTTGTTCCCATTGCTCTGAGCTGTTCCGGGACAACGAGGCCAGACCGGACCCCGGTGCAGATGGGCTGTTGTGGCTCAGATCATCAGCTGCGGTGTTTTTTTGGGGTGTGGGGGGGTGATTGGGTGGCGGGTCCGGTCCCCGTGTTGACAGGGACGGCCGGGGCCGGGGGTCGCTGCGTCTGAGCCGAAGGGGTCGCATCGGACGCCGAAGGCGACGGACGGTCTGACCCGCGGTCAGACGGTGGTGGAGGAAGCGGCCGCCGTTCGTGTATCGCTAATGTGCATTTGCCTTCACAGAGCTGCTCCGCGGCCTCCTCCCGCCTCCGGAGCAGCCCTGCGACCCCCTAACCCCCCCACCAACCCGCCCGCCTCCCTCGGCTCAGCCGGCTCCGACCTGCTCCACGTCCCTCGACCCACCCCATCCCGGCATTGGCGGGAGAGCCTTCAGCTGCTCTGCCCCCAACCTCTGGAACTCCATCCCCCAATCACTCCGCCTCACCCCCTCCTGAGCCTCCTTCAAGTCCCGCCTCATGACCCTCCTCTTCGACCAAGTTTCCTTACTCCACACACACACGCACACACGGACACACGCGCCTGATAATAATACCTCCAAAACAAACAAAAAATAATAAATTGGTAATTTTCAATCCCTGGCTGTTTGTGGGACGCTCAACTGCTGTGCGCAATTGGCTGCCGCATTTCGCCCACAAATATACGGTCAATTCGCTTCACAGTCTGTTCTGTCAAGCGCTTTGAGGCATCCAGAAGACGTGAAAAGCACTGTATCAAATGCAAGGATTATTATTAGTATTAAGTAACCCACTGAACATCAAACCATTTTATTGTGATACTAACCCACACTGCACCTTTCACATCGGGAGGACGTCCTGGAGCTTAAAGGGTTAAATCACGAGGACAGGATGCATAAACTTGGACTCTATTCCCGTCAGTTTAGAAGGGCGGGGGGTGATCTAATTGAGGATTTTAAAACAATAAAGACATTCGATAGTGTAGATACAGAGAAACTTGGATCCTTGGTGGGTAGGGGGAATCCAGAACAAGGGGGGCATCATCTTAATATTAGAGCCGGGACATTTAGGGGTGAAATTAGGGGCAGTTTTTCACCCAAAGACCAATGGGAACCTGGAACTGTCTACCCCAAAAGGCTGTGGATTATGGTTGGATCCATTCACACTGTCCAGACGGAGGTGGGGAGATGTTTGTCAGGTCGGGGTGTTAAGGGATACGGGGCAAAGGCGGGTAATTGGAGTCGAGATACAGATCAGCCGTGATCTTATAGAATGGCTGAACAGGCTCGAGGGGCTGAATGGCCTCCTCCTGTTTCTATGTTTCTACATCACCTCCACTCTCTGCCCGGTAAACCCCATACCCTCTCTCTGATTGGTCGCCCTCAGCCCTCTCTCTGCCCGGTAACAACAACAACATAATGACATTTATAGAGCGCCTTTCACGTTGAAGCAGTCAGATGTCGGAGCCCGAGCATGGAGGACGGGTGGTGTAGGCGTGAGGCAAGGCAGAGAGGTGGGAGGGGGACCAAAGGCACGGTCGAAGAGAAGGGTCTTAAGACCGGCCTTGAAGGAGGCAAGGGAGGAAGCGAGGCGAAGAGACAGTGGGATGGAGTTCCAGAATGTGGGGCAGAGAGGCTTAAAGCCCGACCACCGATGATAGGGCGGGTTGGACAGGAGATGTGGAGCAGGTCAGAGCCCGATGAATGGAGGGAGTGAGCAGATTGGTAGGGAGTCAGGAGGTCAGAGAGGTAGGAGGGGACAAGGCCATGGATGGTCTTAAAGGTGAGGATGAGGATCTTGAACTCGATTCTCTGGGGGATGGGGTTTCAGTGGAGTCAGGTGAGGGTGAGAGTGATAGGGTCATGGAGGTTTGGATGATCTGCATCTTGTGAAGGTAAGAGTTGGGAAGGCTGATGAGGAGGGAGTTCCCGTAATCAAGGTGATGAATGCATGGGTGAGGGTTTCAGCAGCCTGAGGGGTGAGGCAGTGGTGGAGTCTGGCAATATTGCAGAGGTGGTGGTATGCAGTGCCAGTCCTGATGTGGATGTGGGGGAGAAAGGACAGTTCAGGGTGAAACAACTTACCCAGGTTCGTGACTGGCTTAGTGAGGTGGAGTGTGCAGCCGTGGAGGCTAATAACGCTAGTGCCTGAGGTGCGGAGGCATTGGCGCGAGCCAATCAGGAGAGCCTCGGTCTTGCTGATGTTGAGTTGGAGAAAGTTGGCCCTAGTCCAGGACTGGATGTTGGATAGGCAGTCGGTCAAGACACCGTAGTCCCAGAGTTCAGGGTGGAGGCAGAGAGGCAGAGTTGGGTGTCATCCGCTCACATGTGGAAATTTACCCCATGTCTGCGGATGACGTCACCGAGAGAGAGCATGTAGAGGGTGGAGAGGAGGGGACCGAGGGCAGAGCCCTGAGGGACACCGCACGAGACGGTGCAGGGACTGGAGGAGAAGCCGTTTGCCGCGACGAAGTGGAGGCGGCGTGAAAGTTGGGACCTGAGCCATTCAAGGACAGAACCTTGAAGGTTGAGGTGGGAGGAGAGGCGGTGGAGGAGGATTGAGTGGTCCACGGTGTCAAAGGCGGCGGAGAGGTCGAGGAGGACGAGGAGGCAGAGGGAGCCCTGGGCACACACGGTCAGGATGTCGTTTGTGACCTTCACCAGAGCAGTTTGGGTGCTGTGGGGGTGACACCCACAGTACTCTCTCTTTGATGGGCCGCCCTCACCCTTCTCTCTGCTCGATAACAGGTGACTCCCCCAGTACCCTCTCTCTGCTTAGCCGCCCTCACGCCTGTCGGGGGTTCAGTGTCAGGTCGGCGTTAGGGCCAGGGCTGAAGTACGGGAAGAGTTTCCCAGTGAACGTGTGGGTGAAAGTGAAGAGATGAGACATGTGGTCGGTGTCGTACAGCAGCACCTGTCCTTCCGCATAGTCCAGGTACACGCCCAGCACCCGGGGGCTCACCCTCAGTGGGAGGGAGGTACGAGGTGAGGTTAGAGCTTCATATTCCCCATTGTACAGCTCCACAGCCCAGACTCCAGCCTCAGGTCCAGGTGTGAAACCCCCCTTTCTGGGCACTGACTCTCGGGCAACCCCCAATATCCAGTGTGTGCTGTTCCCCACCCCCACCTCCCAGTAATGTCTCCCTGATGTGAACCCCTCAGACCCCAGGACCCTGGGCCAGTTTCTGAAAAAATGATAATCAAAAATCAAGAGTGTAAGATTCTGATCCCTGTCACTGACTCTCACTCGGGTCCGGTCCTCAGACAGGATGAGGCAGGGATGGGCTGTGTTCGGATCCAGAGTCAGAGAGGCTGGAGCTGAAACAGAGAATGTTGACATGTTGGAGGTCGTGTGGTGAACGGTTGACATTATATTTCAATGGTTCATTCAGTGAGGGTTGGATTCCTGCTCTGTGTGTCTCAGGTTACATGTGGGACACCAGTAATGTCTGGCTGTGACCCGGGGCCCGGCCACCGCAGGGCTGAGGTGGGCTGAGCTCCCAATGACCTTATTTACCATTCCCGACCGAGGGGATGAGGAGCGAGAGCAAGAAATCAGCACATCATCTGCTCCACGTGGCTCTGCTGTGGGAAACAGATTGATTGACTTGCTGTAATGTGTCATCTCTGAACACAATGTGACAGCCAGAGACACACCGATACACACATCTTCCTAAACCATCGCATATTATTCATCATTTGCTTATGGCGATCTCTGTCTGATTGTAAATAATAATAATTCTTGCATTGTTAAAGTGTTTTAAAAGAGGGAGCTTATGAGATAGTGGAGGCCCTGTGTCTGATCTTCCAAAATTCCTTGGAATCTGGAATAGTCCCCATGGACTGGAAGATTGCAAATGTCACACCACTATTTAAAAAAGGTGGAAAGGAAAAGATGGGGAACTATAGACCAGTTTGTCTCACATCAGTGATAGGAAAAATTTTAGAATCGTTGATCAAGGATGTGGTAGTGCGGTATTTAGGGCACAATATAATGAGGCCGAGTCAACACGGCTTTACAAAAGGGAAGTCATGTTTGACAAATCTCATAGAGTTTTTTGAGGATATTTCCAGTAAACTGGATAAGGGTGAATCAGTGGATGTGGTCTATTTGGACTTCCAGAAGGCATTCGATAAAAGGTTAGTCCAAAAGATGAGGGCCCATGGAATTGGGGAGAGCACATTAATGTGGGGAATGGTTAACGGGTAGGAAACAAAGAGTAGGGATAAACGGTTCCTTTTTGGATTGGCGGGACGTGACTAGTGGAGTACCACAAGGATCAGTCCTTGGGCCTCAGCTATTTACCATTTACATCAATGATCTAGATAAGGACATTGAAGTTAATATATCTAAATTCGCGGATGACACGAAACAAAACGAGGAGGAAGTGTCAACACAGAGGACGACATTAAAAACAATGCAGCGAGACATAGAGAGGTGAGGTGACTGGGCAGGTAGGTGGCAGATGAAGTACAATGTAGGGAGTGCGAAGTCATCCGCCTCGGTAGCAAAAACAGTAGAGTGGGTTATTTTTTAGAAGGGGAGAGATTGGAATGTGTTAGCGTCCAGAGGGACTCGGGTGTCCTTGTACACCAGTCACAGAAAGTTAGTCTGCAGGTGCAGCAGCAATTAGGAAGGGGAACGGTATGTTAGCAATCATTATGAAAGGATTAGAGTATAAGAGTAGGGAAGTGTTGCTGTAACTGTTTAGGGCTCTGGTGAGACCACACCTGGAATACTGGGGGCAGTTTTGGTCTCCTCATTTAAGGAAGGATGTACTTGCCTCGGAGGGGGTGCAGCGTCGATTTACTCGGTTAGTACCAGGGATGAAAGGTTGAGTTACGAGGATAGGCTGAACAATTTGGGCCTATATTCTCTGGTATATAGAAGAATTAGAGGGGATCTTATAGAAACATATAAGATCATGAAAGGGCAGATAAAGTAGCTAGTGGGAGATTGTGTCCCCCGGTTGGAGAAACTAAAACCAAGGGTCACAGCCTTAAAATCAGAGGCAGCCCTTTTGCACTGAGTTGAGGAAGAACTTCTTCTCTGAAAGGGCAGTGAATGTATGGAACTCACTACCCCAAAGGGCTGTTGATGCTCAGTCCTTGAACTTGTTCAAGACTGAGACAGATAGATTTCTTATTGCAAAAGGGATAAAGGGATATAGGGATAAGGCAGCATCAGGTTATCAGCTGGAGTTAGATTAGAAGATCACCCATGATTGAATGGCGGGGCAGGCTCGAAGGGCTGAATGGCCTACTCCTGCTCCTACATGTTATGTTATATAATATGTTGAGATATAAAGCACACAAAATACCCTGACCACCGTGAACACTCCCCCCCCCCCCCCCACAATCATTGACCACCCCTTCATTCCCCAATAGTCGATCACCTCTTCAACCCCAATTTCTGCCCTCCTCACCTCCCCTTTCTCCCCATCTCTTGCTCCACTCCCACTCACTTTCCCTGCGCCATGTCCCCTCCCCCGCCCACTTCTCCATTTCTACTCTGGCACGTCATTTATCCCACACACTTATCATGCTCCGTGTGAGCCGACCTCATTCCCCTCATCTCTCACCAATTATTCTCCTTCTTTCTCTCCAAACATTCTCGAAACCTGCATTTCTGTATCTTGCTCTGAACAACTCAAACGCCCTCTCACAGTCCCGATTATTCCACTGCCCATAGCCAGTGTCTGACTAAATGTATCTCTGCATTTCATCCGTATGTCCTTACTGTGATATGTCACTCCCCATACCACACTCCTCCTTCTTGACCACTCTCCATACACTATGTCATGCATTATGCATTCGTGTGATTTATATCTTTCCTTCGTCAGCCGGTGCGGACTCGATGGGCCAAAAAGGCCTTATTCTGCGCTGTAACTTCCAATGTTTCTGAACATACTATTTTCATCCCTCTCATCATATTCAAAATATTTGAAAGCCGGTGTTTGAAAGATTACGTTCAGAGCCTCTGCTACTTCCACCCTGACTTCCCTCAGAATTCTATTAGGGATATTTTTTACTTTAAATTTTTACGATTATAAAGGTAATATGTTGCTATGGCTGCTTTTTCGTTTAAAATTATGTGTAAGATCTCCCCCTGTATCTCATTTCCATTGCTTTAAGTGTCAATGACAAACATCAAAAAGAGGAACAGTTTGTTTCACACCATGCCTTCAAATTCCCACCATGATGATCCAATTGTTAATAGAATCTTAATTAACAATCTCACTACTATTTTTCCTCTCTCTCTCTCACTTACCTTTCTGAAGAACCTCCTTCAAAGTTTTTGTTTCCATCTTCCTCAGAGCTGCAAAGAGTTGTTTCATACTGTGAAAGTTATCATCCTCCAAATCACTGTCACTACAATCGGTGGGCTCTCCAGAGGCTGCGTTGTGGGTGAACACAGCTGAGGTGTTGAATCTGAAGTGAAGAGGCATCTTGCCATCTTTGGGACATAGTATGTCAGATTGGGCGATGGCCTCAAGAACAGGAGGAACCTGTCTGTCTGCGAAGGTGACCAGCACATGGATGTTCTCAGTCACATCTTTACTAAACATAGAAAGAAATGAACTAAATTGGCATTCCTGATCAGAAGTTAATTGCACTAAATAGGCTTGGACAACAAGGCACAAGGCATCAATTTGTTTCACACCTTCTTGAGAAGAAAAAAGATCTTTGATCTGATGATAGAGTTTGTAACATCTGATGTATTCAGGGATGTGTTTATTTTGTGATGCGTCTGCAAATCTGGGGATGTCGACAATAGTCAGAGAGAAAGGAACCCTGAATCCCTCTTGGTGGTTGACTTCATAGACGATGATGGAAGATGTTTCAGCCTGGGAGCGGTTTGTTTCTTCCTCAGTCAGTTTGTAACGAAACAAGTCCTCCTGCTCCACACCAAGGATATAGTTCACCATGTCATCGATGAGACTGCTTTTTCCAAATTCTCTTTCTCCGAGAAGGAAGATGGTCTTCTCACTTTGTGTGGGTGAGTGGGTTCCAAAGCTGTATTTTATAAGCTCTCCATTCTTGCCAAGTCTCTGTGTATGTAATGGGAGCTTGTAAATAGCGTGGCTACTGGTTAATAATGTGCTTCCTGTGAGAGGCTTTCGGGCCCGTGACTTTGGTTCTTTGTCTGTTGTTATTGAGGCGAGGTGACTGGGTGCACTCTCCACCTGTCCACACACCGCAGACACCCTCAGTGTGTAGGTTGTGCTGGGTTTCAGCCCCTTCAACATGTAAAGAACTTCATTGTCTTTTGTCTTGATCTTTTCCCATGTGTTGGTCTCAGGACTGGAGATGCCGCTGATAGTTTCTCTATACTCTAACTTGTATTGATCTATAGTGACGCCATGTCCAATCTGGGCAGGCCTGTCCCAGGAGACGTCCACATCAAAGCCCTCTACCTGGCACATTGAAACCTTCTCTGGGGCACTTGTGGGCAGTGTCATCACACTCACAGTATCACTAGGTGGACTGCACGCTGCTCTGTATTGGAAATCATACTCCTGGTATGGAGATAAACCAGTTATGGTGCAGAAGTCTGATTCCACTTCTGTGTTTGAAGTTGTCCATTCTTCCCCCTGGGAGCTGCGATATTCCACCCAGAACTGGATGGACTCGCCACTGCCAGTTTCCAGTGCCTGTAGCCGTAGCTTCACACTGTCATGGGTCTTTCCACAAACAGAGGGAGCCTGGGGTTGTGCTGGAGGCTTGAAGCAGCGGTTCACCAAATCTCCTCCTTCATACAGGTAAATGGAAGCTCCCACATGCTCCTCGTCCGGCTCAGAAGCAACAATGAATTTTGTATTTTTGTCCGCTTTGTTGGCTTTGTGAAATCTCAGGAATAATCGTGCTCGCTTTCTCATCTCACGGGATACGGTCACTGAGTGGATCCATTGCTTCTGATCTGATGTTGGAAGCTGGGTGTTCTCAGTGGTTTCACTTCGAAGATGCTTGGCCATTTCTAACAAATACAAATCTTCCTGGTGCAGCGATGTGAACATGAAGCAGATCACATACTCTATGTTCATGTCCAGTATCTCCATATCCAGTTCACTGCGTGATTTTACCATTTTTATGGCATTCATTTGGCTGAGGTAACTTCTGACCACAGACATTTCCCTGTTCTTGTTGTCCAGCCATTGTGTGAGTGATTGGCTTCTGAATGGGGATTGTTCCATGTTCTTCAGAATATCCACCAGTTTCCCTTCCTCCTCCCCACCTCCCATATAGATGGCAACACTCTGGCCAAGGCCTTCTGGAAATCATGTTTGTACTCCACACACATGGCTCTGAACCTCTGGATCTTTTCTTTCATCTCTGGACATTGATCACTGACTTGGTCTTTCATCATATCATTGCATTTTGTCTCAACCTCATTGACTTGGTCCAGAACAGCCTGGGCCCGGTTGACCAGATTTGTACTGATGTCCCTTACAAGCTGAGCTGCTTTTGAGTCAAGTTGATTGAGTGGATAGAGCCAGACTTTGACAGGTATCGCTTGCTTTCCATCCTGTCCCAACAGCTGTGGCAGAGTTGAGTAAACCTTCATAGCATCTTCAAATGTAGTGGGAATGTTTGGATGCGAAAAATCACCATAAAAGGTACAGCTGAACTTCTGGGTATTTTCTTTCTCTTCCTCCTTCATTTTCAATGAGGCGTCACCCTCGATTGCAACCTTCGGTATGATGTTAATAGACACTTCCATTGAACCCTGAATATCTTGCAGACTTTCTGAGGAAGAGACTTCTCGATCAAACAGAAAGAATGCCTGAGCGCCGTACAGCACTGCTGTGACCACGTGCGTTGCTGTGCCCTGATCAAACACGTAGGGGTAAGACACATTCTGGCGCCCCAAGTGGGTCATTGTCAACTGCTCAAATGTTGTTGTGGTGGAATACTGGAGGGTCACTCGGGCCTGATGCTCAGATTTCTTTCTGTCATTCATGAACTTTGCAGAACCTTCCACCTGGACCAATCCACCCAGAAAGCTTCCCTTCAATGCTGCTGTGACATTCAGGGAATTAGCTTTGTCCTCAATGTCATCTGAGGCAATGATATTAAACTCAGTGTTCGGTTGAGGTCGCACATCCAGGTTGTTTTTCAATGTTTCCAAGTCCCACAGTGTGACAGCTGGAAAATGAGACAAGGAAACATATTGACACTGAGTCTAGTTCCAGGACAGGATTAAGAGGGATATTAGTGGAATCTTCACTGTGTTTGCTACCCATCGGATTCACAAGCATGTAAGTGGAGATCAAACAGAGTTTACTCAGCAAAGTGGTTGACCCTGGAATGTAGTACAGTCCACAATGATTCTAGTAATATGGTTTTTTTTTTGGGGGGGGATTGAGAGGGGAGATCACCTAGTTTTTCATATGCGGAAACATCACTATGATTACGAGTATCCAAAACAAGCTTCATCCATCTCACCTGCACATGGAAATCCCAGAGGTTATTGGGATGGAATGTGCATTCTCTTCCTGGAGAGACACATCCTGCTTACCTGATTCTGGAATGTATTATATGCAGGTTGTCAACACCCAAGGTTTGGGGAGCCCAGAGTGTGTATTCCTATACTGCTGGAGTCCAGCCAGATAAAACCACACTGGTTGTCATTGATAATGCTTTCCCGTTGCTTGCCCAGCTCGGACCCTACCCATTATGGCTTTGTTTTACAGCGTTAACAGGAGCTGAGAGGGATGACTCCCTGCCCCTAGTAACTAGTCTGCCCTTCTGGGTCCTGCCGATGAGCCAGGCTGGGCTGTCAAGTCATCACCAGTACCCTACAATACTGCAGGCTTGCCCGTCTTAGAAAACTGATGATCCAGACTGTTACAGATGCCTCGCTCGATTTCCACATTCCATTGCCTGCCATGTCTGCTTTGAGCTAATTCAGCAATATATAGGATTGTTTCAAAACATTACTTGATTGATGGAAATATTACCCCTGAAAAGTGATCCTCCAATTGACTACAAAACAGATTCCTACTTACTGCTACATAAGCAGAGGCGTGGGGAGGAAGGAAGCTTTTCCAAAGTTTTGCTCTTTGTGTCTCTTGCTTGCGAGGCGAGTGCTCTAATCACTGAGCCACAGTCCTCCACAAAAGTAAACTATAGTAAATGTATGGAACAGCCTCACACGGGAGGCGGCCAGTGGAAGCAGAAAGTGATATCAATTTCAAGAGCAAATTAGATAGTTTTCTGTGGGAAATATTATCTGGAAGTACAGTGTATAGAGGATTCACACAGAATATAACTCTGCCCACACTGAGTAAAGTATTCCTGGGCTTGGCTCATCGTTAGGCAACTATCCTCATTCCACACACCACGGTTTGTAAGTAGTAACCTGCTTATTAGTTGATTGGCATATCAGTTTCCAGAGGTAATGTTACTTTCAAAAAACCAGCTGCACAAAATACACAGTCAATTCAATTAGTATATTCTGTGAAGCGCTTTGAGAGGTCTCAACAACATGATAATATATTAAATTAAAGAATTATTATTCATATAATTATTAAAATCTGCCTCTATGACTGCGCCTGGTCACTTTCTCCCAATACTTCTTTTCTTGGGGTCTGAGGCCATCCGAGATGTTATTCTGTGTTAAGGAACCTATATTAATGCAAGTTGTTTTAATTATTGCTGCAATGTGTTTAAATGAGTTCACTGACATGTTTGTTTCACTTCCACCTATTATTATATTTTCAGTGTGTCGACACATGGCTGTGTCAGAGCACAGATTGGGAAGAGCAGTTACTGGCTGACATTACCTGGGATCAGAGAGTCTGAGCGACAGTCATACAACATCCCCAACTGGAATGGACGGCCTAAACACGCCAGCTCTGTGTTCACATTCGCCATTGTCCACACTGGCCGACCGTCACTACTGCAGACAGAGAGAGACAATTATTGTTATTATTGCTCTGAAATATCTCATTATTTCATAGACAGATACTGTGAAATATATTATAATAATTGTTATTATTGGATCTAGGGCACCAGGCTTCATGTCAGGTGTACAGTGCTATTGAAAAACAAATTCTTGTTCTTGTGTTGTTTTTAAATTTGATCGACAACTTTATGCTCTGTCGACCATTCTCTTCTTCTCCACCACCATTCCTCTCAGCTCCAGATTCACGGTTCTGTCCCACCTGGTACTATTCTTATCTGTCCCAATGTCTACACATTATATCGCTCAATGGCTTCTCTTCCTGACTCTTCACTGTCATACATGGCACCCTTAGGGCTCTATCATCTGCCCTATTCTCTTTGTAAAAATTATAATAATAATCCTTGCATTTGATACAGTGTTTTTCACGTCTTCTCGACATCGGAAAGCTCTTCACAGAATAGACTGCAAAATGACTTCACTGTATATTTGTGGACGGAACAATTAGTATCATCCGCAGGAATGGGGATAACTTCTGAGGTATAATAATCATGAACAGATGTAACAGGGTTTATGAGGAATTTGGTTTTGCACACAAACAGTTGTGCAAGATAATTGAAGAATCTTAGCCTCCCTCCCACTTCCTTCAGTGTCACGCTCCACCAGTATCAAATGCTTTGGGACGCTAACATGTGTGAAGGGCGCTATGGAAATATAAGATGACCAAAGGCAAAGCAACATATCTACCAGAATACTGATCAAATGCGTAAGGAAGCAACCACTGTCAGCAAATGAGGTAAGAGACATTATCAAGGTAAAAGAAAAGACAGTATCAAGCTAATGTAAGGAAAAGTGGAAATCCAACGAACTGAGACAGGTATAACAAAATGTCACAAGTAAAGAAATAAAAGGTCAAAATGGGACTAGGGGGGAAAAAGCTTGCAAGGGTATTAAGGGCAACAGTAAAAGTTGATATAATTACATAAAAACAGGGAGTGGTTCAAGTGGAATTTGTGCCCAATAATAAATATAGGTGAGACAATTCAGGATAATAAGGAAATGGTAAACAACAACAACGAGATTACATTTGTATAGTGCCTTTCACGTCAGGAGGACGTCCCAAGGAGCTGGACAGAGTATAGCATTTCAGACCCGAGCGAGGGAGGGGAATGGGGGTGGCCGATAGCATGTTCGAAGAGGACTCTTTGACTTAATGTTAACTGGTTAAATCAATACTTCCGGCTGCAAAAAGAGGAAGAGGACACAATACCAGTGATACAAGGAAAACTAACATTAAATCAAAGAGAAATATTGATGGATTTGATATGAATAAGAAATGGTAATGGAGAAAATAATGAGGCTAAAGGCAGACAAATCTCCAGGAACAGATGGTACCCACACAAGTGTATTAAAATTAACAGAATAGGAACTTCAGCTGTGGGGAAGTTACTGGAATCTCTCAATGACTGAGAATTTGGACAATTATCGGCTAATAAAAGAGAGTCAACACGGAATTACAAAGGAGAGGTCATGTCTAATGAATCAAGGAGGGAACTTCACAGGATATATTATATTGTGAAATGGTGCTATTGAGTATATTTTGTGGGTGAAAATGGCAGAAAATTTCACAGGTTATTGTTCTCCATACAACCACGGAACCATTGTTGATCAGGAACATGGCAGAAACTCTTTTCTCTTTGCCGTGGGATGTTTATCGACAACAAGTTGCAACACCACCGTGCAATTGCACAGTTCCCTCTTGCAGGGAAGCATCCCAGAGGGCTTGACAGTGGTGGAGCTCGACCCTGAGCCAGAGGGAGGGTGGAGGTGAACATATGAGCAGGGGAAGGAAGGGATGTGGGGAGGTTATGGATGACGATTTAGTATGAGTTTTGATTGAAATCGAGTGAACCAATTGGGTTTCAGTGATGTTTTCAGCGCAAATAACATAATAATAATCTTTCATTTGGTATATCACCTTTCACATCAGGAGTAGCTCTCAAAGTCCTTCATAGTACACTGTGTGAATTTCTAAAAGTGAATGCCGATTAAAACACAGAATCACACAAATATATATGAAATGCATGACATTTTTTGGGGGGTAATTGTCAACCAGGACATCAGAAAAATCTCCTCCCTTTGTTGTCCTTTAGATATGGTTCATTTAAATTATGTTGATTATTGTAGGTGCAACAATATCCCAGAAGTGGGTCCCTGTCTCTAATTTGCGGCAATAATAGACCAGAAAGTTAAATTGGAATAAGTGTTCTGTCATCTTATTTCTGAACAATTATATTTTGTAAAGAGCGTTGAGGTGCTCAAGTTTACGTGAAATTTTCTGTATTATTGCGAGTTATCATAATACAAGGAATGCATAATTAGAAATTGTACGTTTTTTTTTGGTGAGTGTAATTGCTCCTCCTCATCCCTTAATAATGTGAATTAAACTGAATCCCATTGCTTCAGCAGGAAGGCAGGAGTCCCCCAGAAAAGCCTTCACGCTCCCACCCTCCCCCCACTCTAATTCCTTAATCATCAACAGCAACAGCAACAACAAATTGCATTTGTATCACGGCAGGAGGACGTCCAACATAATCAGAAGATGTGGATCCAATTCCTGACTCGTGGCCTCTCAACCAGTTCAGGTGATGGGACCATCTCTCCAGGAGGTCAAGTCCGGCCTGAGCCTAGTGACTAAGTGATCAGTGAGCTCTGCATTTCAGATTCTCCAACTCCTTTGTGAGGACCGAACACAACTCCTCAGACAGGAAATACTGCAATACTGATCCCAGCCATGAGGGGGCGATAGTACAGCTGTGGAGTCCTGTAGCTCAGTGGTTAGAGCACTCGCTTTGCAAGCGAGAGACCTGAGTTCAATTCCAGGCAGAGGGCCAAACCTTGGGCAAGTTTCCTTACTCCACACAGAGCCTAACAATAATCCCTCCAAAACCAAAAACGGTAATAACTTGGACATTTTCAATCTACGACTGTTTCTGGGACATTGCTGTGCCAATTGGCTGCCGCGTTTGCCCACAAATATACAGTCAATTCACTTTACAATGTGTTCTGTGAAGCGTTTTGGGACGTCCTCCCAACGTGAATAGCCGCTATATCAAATGCAAGGATTATTATTATTATTATTCCTGACAGAACCCCATCCTCCCATACTGTAATGTCCTTTCCTGAAACATGACCCTTGAAAGCTCTGCCAGCATAAAATGCTCCTGCTAGTACTCCTTCACTATTCGCAATCAGTTCTCTCTCACGACCATCCTCATCTTCTCTTTCTCCTGTCCCTATCACTGCCTCCCAATCCTCATAGGGAGACTGGCAGCAGTACAGCCGAAGGAGTAAAAACGAATACTACGCCAACAAAAGCAGCAACATAGAGCGCCCTTTATGTAGGGTTGCATCTCGGAGTGTTTAACAATTGGTGGGGCCTGAAGCTGAACTGTTGGGAGGGGGAGGTGACTGTCAGCACAGCTGAAGTGCAATGTCTTCAGGCTCAATCTGCAAATGAGCAATGAGGGAGCAAGGCAGAGGGATTGAGGGAAAGACTTCCAAAGGTTCAGGGTGTAGTGGCTGAAAGCACGGTGGCCAATTGTGCAGTAGTGTGGAGTAGGAAGCCGGTGCCAATCGAGAGGTAGCAGCAGATTGTGGGTTGGACAGTAAGCAGATTGGAAAGGAGGACCACAAAGGGATTTGAAGACCAGTGTCTTGAAGTCGATCGGCTCTGTGATAGGGACTTAGTGGAGCCCAACTAAGACTACTGTGATGGACATATGGAGTTCAGAGTGGATGCTTACATGGGAGGTGGATTTCTGAATAGTTCAGGTTTGTGGATAGTGGAGCTGGGGAGACCGGTGAGGAGGGGTATTGGAACACTTCTCGGCTGGTGATTATGAAAGCGTGGAAGAGGGTTTCAAGTTTCACTTGATCTTACCTAAAAGATGAGAAGTGATTCCTTGTGTGTTCCCTTCTTTGTTCAACAAACTGCAGAAGGTCCCAGGGCATCAGTCTCTATACTCTTCCTCTCAGTAAGACAAGCAGTTTCCTGACCGTTGCTGAGTTTCTCTTCTGTCGTAACATCAAATCCTTTTATATATCAGCGACTCATGCGATAATCAGCTTCTTACAAGGAGGAGCTTCCTTGACATTGTTGGTCACGTGTAAGAGTTTGGTTCACTGCCAATATTGCTGTTCAGTCGCTGCAGTAAACATGGCAAACAACACAGAGAGTTATTTTGCCAAAATAGTCAAGTTTGGATCTTCATAATTAAGCTAACAATATCGTAAAGTGTTGTTCTTGGTTCACTTCCTCAAATACCCTCAATTTATCATTCAGACACTCACTATCTCATGGGTCACTCTCACCTCACTCTCTGCCTGGTAACAGGTAACTATCTGCCACAGACATTCTCACATTGGTCAACTGCACCCCTCACGTCTGTCTCATTCGTGACTGTCCTCCTGTTATCGGGTCAGTGTGTGGGAGTGGGTGTGGCACAAAATGGCCTGATAAAGGAATGACAGTCTCAGTAAATTCATGTGTGCAAGGAAGAGATGACGTAAAACGGAGAAGATGTAAAAGGGATAGAGTAGTGATAATGGGTGACTTCAATTACCCTCCCATAGACTGGTAATATAACTGGTAGAGGGTACACAGTGGGAAGGATTCCTGAAGTGCATGCAGGAAAACATTCTTGATCAGTATCTTTCCAGCCCTACGAGGAAGGAAGCAGTGCTGGACCTCATTCTGTGGAAAGAAGTGGAGCAAGTGGAGCAGGATTCAGCGGAGAGCATCTGGATACGAGTGATGACAAAAATCACTAGGTTTAGAGTACGAGTGGAAAGGGACAAGGATCAATCAAAGGTGAAGATACTGATTTGAAAGAGGCTAATTTCAGTGAATTGAAAAGGGACCGACCCAAGGTGGACTGAAAAGAGAGATTGGCAGGAAAGCAGCTAACCGGCAATGGGAAGCCTTCAAGCAGAAGATACTTCGGGGGTCAGAACAAACACATTTCCATGAAGGGGAAAGGTAAGGCATCCAAAAACTCCCTGGGAAATTGGGATTAAAATAAAACGGAAAAGTTAGTCTTATGAAACGTGTCATGTCCAAAACACAGAAGAAAATCAAACGGAATATAGAAAGTACAGAGGAGACCTAAAAAGGGAATAAGAGGGGCAAAGAGATTTATCAAAAACGATTATCAGTTAACATAAAAGGGAATCCTGAAGTATTTTATAAGCAAATAAAGAATAAAAGGTTAGTCAAAGAAAGGTGGGTTTAATATTGAGATTTGTGGAGTCCTGTAGCTCAGTGGTTAGAGCACTCACTTTGCAAGCGAGAGACCGGAGTTCAATTCCAGGCAGAGGGCCAAACCTTGGGCAAGTTTCCTTACTCCAAACAGAGCCTAATAATAATCCCTCCAAAACCAAATACAATAATAATTTGGTCATTTTCAATCTACGACTGTTTGTGGGACATTGCTGTGCGCAATTGGCTGCCGCGTTTGCCCACAAATATACAGTCAATTCACTTTACAGTGTATTCTGTGAAGCGCTTTGGGACGTCCTCCCGACGTGAAAAGCGCTATATCAAATGCAAGGATTATTATTATTATTATTATTGTGAGGAGTTTAATTGTGCAATAATATTGACTGCTAAGTGTTTCATAGCTTCTGAATCTGACTGGGTTCTCAGTGGACAGAAAGTTGGGAGTTACACCCGGCTCAGGAACCGGACCTCAAGACAGCCACACAGGGCAGCCTGGATTCCCACCTCCCATCATCAGTCACATCACCAAAGGGTGACTCCCTTTATACTTTGGGCCAATTCACTGAGTGGTTGTTGACTACATGTTTGACTGCATGAGGAGCAGGTTGGCAAGTGCCAAGGCCTGGGGAGCAGGGAGTGTGGGGGTGGGGGAGATTCCCAGAGTGTGCTGTGTGCATTGCGGTTGCTGGAATTTAGCTTTGCCGTTGCAAACACTGGTTGTGTCTCTAATCCCCTTTCAAAGATAACCTTCCCTAAAGTGTTGTGTAGTCATGTTCAGGATGGACTCCGTTCATTAGTCAAGTTTACAGGGTGGAGTTGGACAGCACCTCTGTCTGGTTATCTTGGAGGAGCAACACTGACGTTGAAAGTAAAAGCCGTCTTGAATCTGGAATTGCTTAGGATTAAAAGCAGTCTTAACATCAAGCTCACAGTCTGACTGAGGATTCAATTTGTCCAGTTTCTCTGGATTTCTTTACCGCTCCTGTTAACCTACATTCTAGCTGCAGCTTGGAATCATACAATTATGCAGCACAAAAGGAGACCATTTGGCCCATCGTGTCTCTTCCGGCACTTAGACCAATCAAAATCAATCCCACTTCCCTGCGCTCTCTCATATCCCTGCAAACTTGTCCTCCCCAAATAATCTTCTACTCTCTTAAAAGGTGTTATTGAATAGGCTTCCACCACCCTTTCATGCAACATATTCCAGACACAAACTATGAACAGACAGACTCGCTAGGTAAAAAAAATTCTCCTGAACACCCCTCTGTTTCTTTTAACAACTATTTTAAATTGGTTTCCTAGGTTTACCGACCCACCCGCCAGTGGAACTAGTTTCTCCTTGTTGAAGCACTTTGAGACATCTTGAAGATGTGATTAGGTGCTACATCAACTGCAAGGATTACTATTGTTGTTTTTGAGAGCTAAGTATTTCAGTGCTTCCAAACCTGGCCAATGAGCTCTCAGTGGCTAGTTACGCCACGCTCGGGACCCGGACCATCAAGACCACCACCCGGCCTGGATTCCCACCTCACATCGTCAGTCACATCACTCAAGGTTGACCCCCTTATTCCCTCCCCCCTCTTTCCCTCGCACCCAAGGGGAACAGCAGCAGACTTGATGGGAGACTGTGCCAGGACCTCGAAAATTCATACGTCTGTGTGAGACACTGCTGGACACAATCAGCTGCTGCATTTCATCCACAAAACACACAGTTAGATAACTGTCCCTAAAGTGTTCTGTAATTGTGCTCAGGATGGACTCTGTTGATAAGTCACGCTTACTGGGCGGAGCTGGACAACACCTCTGTCTGGTTATCTTGGAAGAGCAACACTGACGTTGAAAGTAAAAGCAATTTTTGAATCAGGAATTGCTGATGGTGAAAAGACATCTGAACATCAAGGTGACAGTCTGACCAAGAAGTTAGTTGATCCAGTTTGTCTGGATTTCTTTAGCAATCCTAGGTTGTAGCCACAGCTTAGAATCATACAATCATACAGCACAGAGGGAGGTCATTCGGCCCATTGTTTGAAGTGGCTCTTTGAAAAGAGCTTTTCCAAATCAATCCCACTGTCCTGCTCTCTCCCCGTAGCCCTGCAAACTTGTCCTCCCCAAATCATTAACTACTTCTATCTTAAAAGTTGTTATCGAATTGGCTTCCACCAACCTTTCAGGCAATGCATTACAGATCCCAACAACCCACTGTGTGACAGGAGGATGTGACTATAAGCGTGATGGGATAGGGAGCCTTGAGGTTGGCTGTACATATTTAGAGAGGAGCTAAGCAGAGGGCCAGAGTGAGGGAGAAAGTTGCAGAAGTTAGGGGGATAGTGTTTGTTGACTCCACAATTGATCGTGGCATGGAAAAGGAGATGGATCAAATATGAGATGGTGGGGATCAAAGGCTGTGTGTGACATTTAACCCAGGCCCGTTTCTCTGTTCAGGAGGAGTTTGGAGATTCCAGGATGCTATTCAGAATCAGCACTGAGATACTCTCGGTGTCGTGGCCGATCCTTCTAATAACTTCCCTGTTTTTTTGTGGGTGTTTGCTGGAGCGTGACCGACTTTCGTTTGCATGATAACATGAGCTGAGTGGGAGGATCCTTGTTCCCAGTGACACATCTACCCTCCAAATGCTGCTATCAAGCTCAACAGCTGGTCTGGCATTTACCGTCTCTAATTCTGCCGGGGAAGCCAGCGTAACAGGCCTGGTCTCTGTATAGCAGGCCTGGTCATTCTTTAACCGGCCTGGCCTCTCTATAACCGGCCTGGTCTCTGTATAACAGACCAATCTCTGTATACCAGGCCTTCTCTCTGTATAACAGGCCTGGTCTTTGTATAAAGATCTGGTCTCTGTATAACAGGTCTGGTCTCTGTCTAACAGGCCCGGTCACTCTACAACATCCTTGGTCTCTGTATAACAGATACGGTCTCCATCTAACATGCCCGCTATCTGTATAATATCCCTGGTCCCTGTATAACAGGTCTGGTCTCCGTACAAAAGCCCAAATATGTCTATAACAGCGCTGTTCTCTGTATAACAGGTCTTGTCTCTGTATAATAGGCCTGTTCTCTGTGTAACAGGCCTGGTCTATGTATAACAGCCTGATCTCTGTATAATAGGCTGGGCTCTGTGTAATAGCACTGAACTCTGTATAACAACGTGCTCTCTGTATAACAGGTCTGGTCTCTGTATAACAGGCCTGGTCTCTGTAAAATAGTCTCGTCTCTGCATAACTGCCCTGGACCCTGTATAACAGGTCTGGTCTCTATATAACAGCCCTATTCTCTGTATATCAATCCTGATCTCTGTTTTACAAGTCTGGTCTCTGTGTAACAGACCCAGTCTCTGTGTAGCATCCTTGCTCTCTGTAACAGGTCTGGTCTGTGTATAAGAGGCCTGATCTCTATAACAGCCTGATTTCTGTATAATAGGCCTGATCGCTGTGTAACAGCTCTAATCTCTGTCTAACATCCCTGGTCTCTGTATATCAGGTCTAGTCTCTGCATAACAGCCCTGGTCTCAGTCTAACAGCCCTGGGCTCTGTATAACAGTCCTGATCTCTGTCTTACAAGTCTGGTCTCTATATAACAGGTCTGGAGTCTGTGTAACAGGTCTGGTCTCTGTCTAACATGCCTGGTCTCTGTGTAACATCCCTTGTCTCTGTATAACAGGTCTGGTCTCTGTATAGCAGGTCTTGTCTCTGAATAATAGAGCTAGTTTCTGTATAACAGGCATGTTCTCTGTATAACAGCATGATCTCTGTATAACATCCCTGGTCTCTGTAT